CGGCATGATATGTGTCGTTTTGGTGTCGTAAGCCGAAAGGCAAGATCTTGAATTCACTTTGAAGACTTTAAGAAGATCCGTTAACATTCGTCTAACGGAGTGAGAGCAATTGCTCTGTAACAGTAACAGAATCTTCGTAACTCCGTTAGTACTCGTAACGGCTTCAAGCGCTTTCTCTTCTTTGAAAAGATACGAAACACTCCAAAGCACCGTCACGGCGTGCTCCGTCGCAGCCGTCGAAACTTTCATCAGTTTTTTAACCACAGTTTTCAAACACTCGCCGTCTCCGCCGCAGATTTCCGATCTACCTTCTTTAGTCGATGCTAAACTCTCGAGAAGCTTCAAGCATTTCTCAGTCACCGAAACGCTCGAAATCGTCGGATCTGATAACAATTTCGTTAGATCATCTATGAGTTTCTCTCTGATTAGATTCAATTTCACGCGTTTCGGTGAGCTAATCGCGATTAAGCAAGATAAAACCGATTCGATCAAGCTCGGATCGGAATCTCTGGTAATCGATTTCATCAATTCGGTGATTAATCCATCTCTCTCGGCGATTAAGAGCTTTGACTCACCGTCGACGGCGATAAATTCCAGTAAACCGGCACAATCGATCTTCAATTCGACATTCCCAGATTTAAACAAGAAGACGATCACCGTTAAACGATCTCGACCGTTTGATAAAATCGAATTCGAAAACCGTCTCCGATCTGAGATTTTGCTACGAATCGAGCCCAGAATCTTCACCGCCTCTTGAACAACCAGCAATTTAGGTGACGAGTTGGTTTTGAAATCTACCTGACTCAATAGATCGACGAGAAGTCTGACGAAATCGTCTTTTCCGGCGAGAAATCCTCTGTTATCATCGGATTCTCTAGCGAATCGGAGAATCTTCGATAAAATCTCACGGTCGTATCGATCTTCTTTCTCGATCTTAACTCTATCGATCGCGTCGGCGATTTCGTCTCTCGTCGGAGCAGCTAATTCCGTCGATTCAACAGAAGTTCGACGACGAACAGAATCTGACCAAATTTCGATGAGACGTTGAAGAGTACGATTAGGTATGAAATCCTTGTTCTGAAGAATCTGCATCGTCGCCGGACAAGTATTGTTACCGCCGTCTAACCACCGTTGGATACTAGCTCGATCGTAGGTAACGCCGGTGCATAGACTCACCGGAGATTTCATAACGTCAAGTGAAATAGGACATCGGAAAAAAGTAGGAACGGTGATGTAAAGATCGTCTTTCCTCATTTTTTTTGCTTGGCCGTTGCTTTTCCGTTTTGCTCT